CTGCGTGTCCTGCATGCACCAGATCCTGTGTCCTGCATGCAGCAGGACTGTGTGTCCTGCATGCACCAGGGCCTGTGTCCTGCATGCACCAGCGCTGCGCGTCCTGCATGCACCAGGGCCTGTGTCCTGCATGCACTGGTGCCGTATGTCCCGCATGCACCAGGGCTGCATGTTGTGTGTGCACCAGGGCCTGTGTCCTGCATGCACCAGAGCTGTGTGTCCTGCATGCACCAGGGCTGTGTGTTCTGTGTGCACCAGGGCCCGTGTCCTGCATGCACCAGGGCTGTGTGTTCTGTGTGCACCAGGGCTGTGTGTCCTGCATGCACCAGGGCTGTGTGTCCTGCATGCACCAGGGCTGTGTGTCCTGCATGCTGCAAGCCTTGCACATGCCTGGCTGCCACCTTCCTTCCTGCTTTGAGCACCCTGTCTCCTTACAAGGCTGGCAAATGTACTTCCCTAGCTGGCGACTGCAAGAGCCATTCAGAGCCTACAGAGGAGGAGGAGGAGGAAGGCTTAGGGTTGCAGGGTGCCTGTGCACAGCCCTTCCTTGGCCTGCAACCCTGCATGTAGGCCTGCAGCACGAGAGCAGCTGCTGAGCTGCTAAACCTGCTTCCCCGTGGGAGCAGCACACTCTGCACGGCGGGTCTGCACACCCCGCAGCTGCAAAGGCCCTCGTGCCTGCGAGCAACATGTGTGCATGCAGCGCGGCTGTGCATTACCCTGCTGCAACGTGCATCGCCCTGCTGCGGCATGCATTGCTCTGCTCTTGCCTGCGTTGCCCTGCTGCAACGTGCCTCGCTGCTGCCGCATGCCCCGTTCTGCTGCGGCGCGCATTGCTCAGCCATTGCACGCGCCGCTCTGCCGTTGCATGCATGGCTCTGCCGTGGCATGCGTCTCCCTGCTGCGGCATGCATCGCTGTGGCCCGCAGGCGGCTGCGAGCGCGCCCGCCCCCGCGCAGCACCCGTGGCTGCCCTTTTTGGTAACATTGCGAACGCAGGAAGCTCAAGAGCGGAACAGAC